ATTAAAGATAACTTGCAAAGTTAAGCAGAGAGGTCGGAAGTAGCAGACAGACACCTGGTACCACTGGACATCAAATTGACACCAAATTTAGAGACCACTAAAGGGAAAGGGGTGAGATGGTGCATCTTAAAAATGGTTTTAAATAGCACATCACCACCACCACTGTCAGTAGCTTTGCATTTCATGAAAATGTTCATAGTGGGTCTTGCCTTATTTTCATGTCTCAGATGATCCAACCCATTTTCAAAGAGATTGCACCTTACTTTTTTTGAGTTAGCTTTAGGAATCAACCGCAATGCTCAAATTAGCTACATAGTTAATTGCTTCCTCCCAAAGGTCTTTGAAAAACAAAAGCAACACTGATTTTGTAACAAGAGTTGCCAATTAATTTACATTGGATACTATGTTGAGTATGAGCAACCTCTTTTATGAGATTGACCCATTAATTTTCAAATAGACAAAATAGACTTAAAAAAAAAACTTGATGTGCAAATACAGAGACAATGGTTAAGGCTTCTTGCTTTTTTCTTACGTTTTGATAGACATGGCTCATGTTACAACAGACAACTGATATATAACTGATATCATCGCTCTTTGATAAATGTTATCTCTCATTTGAGATAAAAATGACAGTTACTGGCAGAACCTCATAAAGAGAGAACACAGGCACTTTCAGAAAGCAGTGTCTGAAATCAGATTACTACAGCTTCCCCTAGATTGAATTTGCATGAGAGGAAAACATCATGCACGTTTCTGGTTTTGGAAACTTCTAGGAATTGCTTTGTCTGGTAAGGAGAAGAAGGTCTAGAAGATGCAAAACAAAACATGGGCAAGCACGAAAGTGAGATGATTGCATTTCAGTTATCCTTGCTCCTGTGAGGTGATGAGTTTTGCAGAGCTGACTGTAGTCCATAAGAAGGTGAGTTAGCGAATCTGTAATTTCTGACACCTCGTTGCAGGGCATGAGAGATGCAGTATTTAATCCTGCCTGTCTCCATGCAGCCTGCCACCAAGGGAAGAGGAGGGAGGTAAATTAGATCTCGGCTTTGCCGCCCGGCTGTGCAGACTGTGTCTGAGAGCGGCTGTGGTCAGTCTGGGGCTATTTTTGGGGATGGCATCAGAGAGCCCTGTCCCCACCAGCCGTCACTGCATGTGGGCCCTGGCGGTCCTGCCTGTGCCTTACACGTCACTGGGGTGTAAGATGATCTAAGAGGGTCAACCAACGACGAGTTCCTATTTGAATGGTTAGGTTTCACCTTAATGCATATTATTTAAAAAAAATAAATAAACCTTGTACATCAAAGCTGTGATTTCCTATACATCACTTCTTAAGATAAAGATGGGTTTGAAAAAGTGAGCTGGGAGTTGGTTTAGTAAGAAATATGAAAGAAATAATCATCCCAGGGGTACCTGGAAATGGCAAAAATCACAAAGGCTGTGTGTTAATAGGCAAAATCTAGAGAACAATTCAGAAGCTGATTTTCTTCTTATTTTACTGTGTTTATGATCTCTTTGTCGAGACTTTCGGTATTTGTTTCCATTTGCAAAATAACTATATGCTTAAGGCAGAAGATTTGGAGATATAGACAAGCACAAATGAAATCATGAAAATTAACCATGATGCTACTTCTTACACATAAAGATAGTTAGGCTGGGCATGGTGGCTCACATCTGTAAATCTAGCATTTTGGGAGGCCAAGGTGGGAGGATCGTTTGAAGTCAAGAGTTCAAGAGCAGCCTGGGTAACTTAGAGAGACTCTGTCTCTACAAAAACAATTTTAAAAATTAGCCAGGCATAGGTGGTAGCACACACCTGTAGTTCCAGCTACTCGGGAGGCTGAGGCAGGAGGATCACCTGAGCCCAGGAGTTTGAGGTTGCTGTGAGCTATGATGATGCCACTATACTCTAGCCACTCTAGCATGGGCAACAGATCAAGACTCTGACTCTTCAAAAAAAAAAAAAAAACTAAAAAAGTACGGTTAACATTTTGCTTTTTGCCTATCCAGTACTTTTTCTATCTTTTTATTCCCCACAAAAATAGGGCTGTGTTTGCCTATCCTGTTTCATAGTTAAATTTTCCACCTAATAATATCTAATGACCATTTTCCCATTTGGCAAGTTTTCTTTTAGAACAACTCTTTTACTATTGTTTTATTGGATAAAAAGTATACTCTCACCTGGCTGAATAAAAATCTAATTAATTAATCCCTTACTTTTGGGAATTAAGCCTGCTTCCATTTTTTTCACTGCCATATAAAAGGCTGCAATGAATATCGTTGGGCTTAAAACACTATTGTACACATTTCTGAGTATTTATTTGTAACAAATTCCTAAAGGTGGAGCTCCTGGGTCAAAGCTTTGCAATTCTAAAAGTGTTTGCTGCAAATTAACAGATTACAGAAATATCACATGAATAATTTATTCCAAAAGTAAGTTATAAGAATATTCATTTCTATAACATCTGCGATACACTATCACTACAAATGTCATCTTTCTTTTAAAAGACTTTTGTTTGCCAATACACTTATATAACTTTCTATATTATTAAAGAAATAGAAGTCAAAAAATCATAAATTTAGGATTCATTCATAGTATATTTTTGTGTGTGAATTACCTGTAATATTCTTTTCCCTAATCTACTCATACGAAACCCTGAATAGTAATCAAACTTAGATATGAGCGTAGAGTATAATAATACTAAATGACATAAATATCCCTGTCCTGAGAAGTACTTTCCTTTACCTTTCTTATACTTCTCTTTTGGCTAAGGGAATGATCATTATTCTGGGGAGACATTATTTTTTAATATTCTGATAATTTTTCCTAACTCACGGAGAAAATGTTAAAGGTAAAATGAGTTGAATGAATTCACTTTTTAGGAGAAAAGAGTAAAATATGGTCCTGCCACTCAACTCTATTCAACAAGCTGAAAACGCTGAGATGAGACAGGAATAGCACAGCAATGTATTCATTCCAATGATGCTCATGTTTGAGCAAGAACAGAAAACATGCACGATAAGCTATTGCAATAAAAAGAAAAATTAATCCCTAGAATAATTTTGTACCTAGCAAGTTGAGAACAGTTAACTATCTCGGTAATTTTGAATCTTACTTATAACTCAGGTGATGATTTTTAATCTTTTTAAAGCTATGACACCTTCTTGTGATGGGGAAGCTGGTGGTGGTAGAGCCACCTGTCTATCCCATTCTAAAACTGCCACATGAAACCAGGCACAGTGACTCACTCCTGTAATACATGACTCAGAAGGCCGATGCAGGATGATCATTTGAGGCCAGGAGTTTGAGACCAGCCTGCGCAACATAGCAAGACTCCATCTCCACAAAAAAAAAAAAGAAAAATTAGCTGGGCACGGTGGTGCACACCTGTAGTCGCAGCTACTTGGGAGGCTTAAGTGGGTGGATGCCTTGAGCCCAGGAGTTGGAGGTTGCAGTGAGCTATGATTGCACCACTGCACTCCAGCCAGGGTGACAGAGTGAGACTCTGTTTCTATAAAATAAATTAACCAATTAAATTAAATTTAAAAAGTGCCACATGAGATGCAGTAATACTTTAAATCAGGTGTCCTCAAACTACGGCCTATGGGCCACATATGGGTCACCTAGCACATTTATCTGGCCCTCTGGGTATTTTTGCTGCCGCTGCCTGTCCTGCTTAGCAGCCGACTCGTCCCGGGCCCACAGTGCGCACTCTCCAAGGGTCTGAGGGACGGTGACCTGGCCCCTTGTTTAAAAAGTTTGAGGACCCCTGCTTTAACTAGAAAGAACAATTAAATCTAATTTTATGTTGAGGTTTATTTGAGAATTTCAAAATAATTCTGGACCCATCACAGAAACCCTTAACCTCCAGGTTGGCAATCAGTATTTTGAAATTGAAGTTGGCTAAGAGGAAAGCAGGTATCAGGAATATCTTTGAATGATATGCATGTATTACATTACGAAATGCTAAATAGACTACTTCCTAAAACATCCAGAAAATTCTAGGTGAAATGCAATAGTTGATAAGGACCCTTCCTACTAATTAAAATAATTTGCCATTATTCATTTACTAACTCGATAAGCATTTACTGAGTGCTCACTACGTGCCAAGAATTGTTTCATGCACCGGGAATATTAGTGAACAAAGCAAAGATGAATCTGAGAGTTCTTAGAAGGGGAAGGGCAACAAAACCACCAGGAAAGGAGGCCCTTGTTTAAAATGCAGATTCATAAGTCTTACATGGAGGCCCCAGAATGAGAGTCTCTAGGGGCTGAGGCCCAGAAATACGTATTTTAAAAATGGTCCCAAGTGACACTCACTAAAATTTTCAAAGAACGCAAAACGGGCACTTAACAAATATTTGCTCAGTGAATGAATGCTAGGTAGGAATCAAGATCTAGGATACCTTGCTCCCCAGCCCTCCACCCAGAGCAAATATAGGCCCATTCTGAGGTGGGCCCAAGCAGAGGCTCAGGTCGCCTCCTCAGATCCACTTGGAAACTCATGATGCGACAAATACGTGGGTCTGATTAGACTCAGGCCTCAGGTGAGCTTTCCATTTTAAACGATTACTCTCGATGTCCAGGTGCTAAATCCAGTGGTCTCCCGAGCTGAGAAAATGCAAGTGCCTCAACTGGTAAATACCAACTATTTTAATGGCATCTTAAAAAAAAAAAGTCCTTATTTTTTATTTTTAGCACTTTTGACACACGGACACACAGATACTCTTACTCCTAGTGCCAATGTACCTGTTTGACACTATAAACTCAGTACCGAGGGCCCCTGAGATTTTTAGGGGCTCACAGAATGTTTTAATTTCTTTTAGAATCAGAATGAAAGCACGAATCTCATCTAGCCTGGATCGTAGCAAACTGTTAACTGGTGCAGTCGTATGATAAAATTTTTCATGTTTTTTTTTTTTTTTTTTAAATCAAGATGTGAAGTTACAACACGGCTCTGCTTACCCACAGCTCTGGGCCCAGGCGAGAAGAGACCCCTTACCTGGCAGGCGTTGTACAGGAGCTGATGCTCAAACTTCTTGATGCCGAGAATGTTCTGGAACATCTCATAGAGCTGCTCCTTGCTCAGGATCAGCTCGGAGGCCGCGCTGGCCGTCATGCGGGCCTGCTGCTTCCTGGGGTCCTCCTCCCCGCGGTAGATGGCGTCGAACTTGGCCATCCAGGAGCTCAGCACCGTCTCCTTGCTGAGCCCGTCGATCTCGGGCAGGCTGCGCACCCGCTTCTCGATGTGCTTCTTGAAGACCTCGCGGGAATCGTTGGCCGAGCAGCCCCCGCTCTGCACCATGCGGGCCACACGGTCGCTCTTGAGGAACACCTGTGCAAGAGCAGGGCCGGGACAGACAGTGAGAGAGTTGGCCATGCAGGGGCCTGCTGGGGACTGACACTATACTTTCCTGGTTTAAGAATTAAATTTACTGAGTAACCTACGTGCTCTGCCCAGAGCGATTGAGAGTAATGTGTTTTGGACAGGGTCCCTGTGACAAACACGGTTGCTGCCTAGAGGCATAACAAAGAACCTGAGTTTCTGCAAGTAAGCAAGAGCTTCCCAGCCCCACAGCAGTGGGGGTCTGGAGGCTACACCATAAACACATTGTTCCTGTGATTGCTGCTCATCCTAGAAGATGGCTGGTTAGTCAATGACGGATAAGATCCCTCAAGGGAGGGGCGACCTAAGACAGGCACAGCCACTGGGGGTCAGCCTAGAGGAACTGGGGATGAAAAATGCGCCCCGTGGCTACCTGGCCTAACCTTGCTTATCTCAGTCTATGATCTATGCCTGGCACCTTGAGCAACCACCTGGAAACCCTGAGTCAGGGGACATCTGTGTCCTTAAGGCTATGTGTTCTGGAATTTATGGCCATTGCTGTAATGCCTAGGCGGTCACGTCTAAGGAACTAACTTTGATTTTTTTAAAGTATAAAATTAAACTGACCAGTGCATTGGGCACTCCAGTCTTGTAACAATCTTTGTGCTTGTGTCTGTGTGTTTCTTTGTGTTCTGCATTCATCCCCCGTCCTGCAAACAGGCCACAGCAGGGGCCATTGCATAAGGGGTTGGCACGGGTCCCTTCCTGTCCCCCAACCTCCTGGCGGGGCCAAGGCAGGCAAGTCACTTACACGCTTTGTTTCTGTGTCCACATCTGCTAAATGAGCACAACGACTGGACTCACCAGGTGGCTGCAAGGACTGATCGAGACCAAACACGCAAGGCAGCACATGACGTATAGACTCTGCATTCAGACCGTGTGGTTCTCTCTCTGCCACTTAATGACTGTGTGACTTTGGGCACATGAACCTCAGGATTCTCATTTACAAAATGGGGATGACAGTAGTCCCTGTCTCATAGGTGTTTTCAAAATGAGGATGAAATGAGCTAAAATGTGAAAAGCACTCAAAACAGCTCCTGGCCCATGTGAATGCCAAGTGAGTTGTAGCTGTCATTATTATTATCATATATAAAGTAGCTGGCATGGTATCTGCACATAGCACTAAACATTTGTCAGTATTTATCTTTCATTTTATCCCCTGCATGATACTTATCATTAATTGGAATTAAATTAGTATTTGGGTAAATACGCATTTAATTATCTCTTCCTGAAATAGAAACTCCACGTGGGCAAAGACTGTCCTTGTTCCCTACAGTATCTTCAGTCCCTGGCATAGCACCTGACACTTTGAAAGGGAATTAACAATGAACATATTGGTGTTATATTCTGTTTATTTTGTAGATGAAAAACCAAGACTCTGCAGAGGGGAGGGACTTGTTCTCGGTAACTGACACTGTCTGACTGCAAACATGTGGTCTTTAGACTTCACCCTGGTTCCTCCCTTCCCCCTGGGGCTGTCCTGTCCAGTGGAGAACGCCTGGTTATTCTGCTGGTCCCACCTGAGTCCTGGGACCAAGCCGTCCATTAAGAGTGTTTTACTTTTGCTGTACTGCCACTGTTTGGAAGCCCACACCAGCTACACGATTCCCAGGGTGTTAGACAAGACAGCAAAGCTGCTGCTTCACATTCACAGAAAGGAAACATCTGACACTTTTGAGCTGTGTCCTGGTCACAAATGAGAAGGTGCATAAACACCCTTCAAAGAGGCAGAGTAGGCTGGGTGCGGTGGCTCATGCCTGTTATCCTAGTACTCTGGGAGGCCGAGGCGGGAGGATCGCTCAAGGTCAGGAGTTCGAAACCAGCCTGAGCAAGAGCGAGACCTCGTCTCTACTAGAATATAAAGAAATTACTTTATTACTTTATACAGCTAAAAATATATACAGAAAAAATTAGCCAAGCATGGTGGCGCATGCCTATAGTCCCAGCTACTCAGGAGGCTGAGGCAGGAGGATTGATTGAGCCCAAGAGTTGGAGGTTGCTGTGAGCTAGGCTGATGCCACGGCACTCTAGGCTGGGAAACAGAGTGAGTCTCTTTGTCCAAGAGACAGCTTTGCTTGGAGGACTGCTCATGCTTCATGCTTCCCCACCAAGCTTCCTGGAGGTGGGAACATGTTAGCGAGGTGGCCTCCATTCACTGCTGACTTTAATGGACTAACGTGGAAAGGAGGGCTGAGATTTGCTCCCCAGGGTTGAGACCATGGCCTGCTCGCCTGTGCCTGGGAACTGATGCTCAGTTGGGACATGAGAGTTCATTTCAAAATCAATTATGGAGGAAAAGTTTCAAATAAATCCTCAGGCCTTACAAGCCTTCATGAGCAAAAGAATCCACTCGAATGGCCAGGCAAGGTGGCTCACACCTGTCATACTAGCACTCTGGAAGGCCAAGGCAGGAGGATCACTCCAGGTCAGGAGTTTGAAAACAGCCTGAGCAAGAGCGAGACCCCATCTCTACTATAAATAGAAAGAAATTAATTGGCCAACTAATATATATAGAAAAAATGAGCCGGGCATAGTGGTGCATGCCTGTAGTCCCAGCTACTCGGGAGGCTGAGGCAGGAGGATCACTTGAGCCCAAGAGTTTGAGGTTGCTGTGAGCTAGGCTGACGCCAAGGCACTCACTCTAGCCTGGGCAACAAAGCAAGACTCTGTCTCAAAAAAAAAAAAAAAGATGATGTCTAAGCAGGGGGCAAGAAGGTAAAGGTAAAACTAGCAGACACAATACAGTGGGGTCTTGCAAACACAATCGTCCATGCACGCTGATAGCAAGGGGTAAGAAATAAGGATGGTGGCACTCTGCTCCCAGCTGGTGTCCAACTCTGAATCCTGGACATGCCATCTGCTTCTCATCGTCCCTTCCTGTGCACACAGAAGTCACTCCATAAACATTTGCTAAGCCACTGGTGGAGGACCTTGGAGAAGTCACTCAACCTCCATCGACCTCACTGTCCTTTGCTGCCCAGGAAGTTAACCCAGCCGCCCTTCTTTGACAGGGATTGAACTGAGATGTTGGGTACTAACAAAAACTTATCCAGCTTAGATTTAAATTTAGAAAATAGAGTACGTGTTCTGCCCAGAATATTTAAGAGTAATGTGTAACAAACAAGGTACATGTAACAAACAAGGTCTGAGTTTCTGCAAATAGGCAAGAGCTGCCCAGCCCCACGTTAATAGGGGCCTGGAGGCCACACGATAAGCACATTGTTCCTATTATTGATGCTTGGCCCTGTAAGATGGCTGGATAGTCAGTGACAGGTAAGATTCCTCGAGGAGGAACAACCTAAGACAGGCACAGCCGCTGGGGGGGGCAGTGGGAGGGCAGCCAGGAGGAACTGAAGGCAGAAAGTGCCCCCTGTGGCTGCCTTGCTTAGCCTTGCTTATCTCAGTCTGTGACCTATGCTTTGAGCAACTGCCTGAAAACCTTGAGCCAGGGGACATCTGTGTCCTTAGGCTCTGTGTTCCGGAATTTATGGCCATTGCTGCAATGCCTGGGTGGTCATGTATAAGGAAGTAACTTTGATTTTTTAGGGTATAAAAATAAAACGACTGGTGTGTTCTGCGCTGCAGTCTTGTACGCAGTCTTTGTGTGTGTCTGTGTCTTTCTTTTTCTGTCTCTTTGTGTTCTGTGTTCATCCCCCGTCCTGCAAACAGGCCACGGCACTGAGAGGGCTCTGAAATGTGTCTGTCCTATGCTAGGATTTGACTTCCAGGCCCCAGAAAGAGGGGAGATGGGTGAGATGTCAAGAGCATGCAGGAAGGAGGCTGGAGATGAAGGAGGCAGGAGGCGTGAAGTGCCCCAGGGAGACGGACAGCCCTGGGGACACAGGGGTGGCAGGAAACTAACTTTCCAGGCCCACCATCTGTCCTGGCTTCTCTGTCTATCAGAAAGGACGGGGGCCCTGGGCCAGTCTCAGGCTGTAATGAACACAGGCACCAAGTACCCATGTGCTTGTGCAGAACTCATAGAATAATAGTCAGAACTCATTTGTGCCGGGAGCCCTATCTGTATCGTGTGTGTGTGTGTGTGTGTGTGTGTGTGTGTGTGTGTTTCTGTTTCTATTTTTCAGTGGCTGTCCCAGGGGACTTCAACCCCAGGCGCCATTCTATCTGAGCACATCCATAAATCCTCCCTACTTTTCTGCCAACTTCCAGACAGGTCATGATGAGAGATGGAAGACGAACAAATAAATACGGAATCGTGAAGGGCAGTCAAGTCGGCAGCTCGCCCTCATCCGTCAGTCCTTCCCCCCACCCCTGGACAAGCTCAAGGTTGTTTTAGACACTTGCAAACACACCAGTGCTTAGCAGCTGGACACGTTGCGTGGGAGGTTGGTCCAGCTCCCATATTTTTGCTGATAGGCTGAGAAGCCAGGATAGATTCTTTCCTGCTCTGAAAAAGCATATCATTCCAGGACAGGCAAGAAACTGCCCCCCCTAGAGATGTCAGAATTAATAAGGTTTTTCGGAACCTACAAGCAAACCTGGTTGCCACGAATAAATGGCACATAAGTAGTGGAAAGAGTAGATGTTGTATTTTGTTTTGAAGCACGGGCCCTAGAATCAGAACTCCTGGGTTCAAATCCTGACTCTGCTACTTGCTAGCTTTGCCACCCGAGCGAGTCACTTCGTCTTCCTGGCTTTAGTTTCCTCACCTTTAAAATGGGGATTGGAACAGCCTTCCCTTGCAGGATTTTGGTAAGGATGCAATGAGATCACGCATGCCAGTTGGTTTGCTTGTTGCCTCTCACAGGGAAAGAATGTAATAAAAGCTAGCTGATATATTTTTTTAATAGAATATCATGAAGCCTTGAAAGAAGATATATATATATATATACACACACATATATATATATGTATATATATATATTTTTTTCCATTGGCATCCGAAGATGTCCATGGTAAGCCAGAGTCTTCCCATGGCAGGCATGAGG